AAAATATCAGTTTTTACCAAAAATGACAAAAATATTCACCAAAATTAGAGAATTAAAGATATCATTACAAAATGAACAAATCTGAGAGAGATCCACATGTAGTACCTATATATGTAATATCAAAGCAATTGCACTTGCGGTTTTTAACAAGAAGTCGAAAATATCAGTTTTTACCAAAAATGACAAAAATATTCACCAAAATTAGAGAATTAAAGATATCATTACGAAATGAACAAATCTGAGAGAGGTCCACATGTAGTACCTATATATGTAATATCAAAGCAATTGCACTTGCGGTTTTTAACAAGAAGTCGAAAATATCAGTTTTTACCAAAAATGACAAAAATATTCACCAAAATTAGAGAATTGAAGATATCATTACAAAATGAACAAATCTGAGAGACGTCCACATGTAGTACCTATATATGTAATATCAAAGCAATTGGACTTGCGATTTCTAACAAGAAGTTGAAAATATCACTTTTTACCAAAAATGACAAAAATAAATTAGAGAATTGAAGATATCATCATGAAATGAACAAATCTGAGAGAGGTCTACCCAAGGTACATATACACCAAGTATCAAAGCATTCAGGCTTGTAGTTTTCAAGGAGAAGTTGAAAAAGTAAAACATTGATACGGACGACGACGACGGACAATGACGACGGACAATCACTCATATGATAAGCTCCGCTCGACAAAGTCGACAGCGGAGCTAAAAAAGTATAGTAAGTAAGGACGATTATTTATTTGATCACATTTTTTTGAAGCAATGACAATTTTATTTTATTTATATATATATATATATGTAGCAGCGTGGCAAAATTTATCTTTATTTAATTAATAATGAAACTTTGTTACTTTTTTATGACTATTAAAACAAATATCCGACCTTGTCCCATGCTATTGCCACTGAAATAACAACAAATTACTTAAAACATGGCCAGTACCACTAAATATATCATTGTACTAGTTTTAAATTAATTAACAGGATTCTATATTTTGACAAGGGTAGATGGTCACTGGTATCAAAATACAGATCCAGTGGCTTTATGTAAAAAACACATTTTGGAACAAGCTTGTATATACAGTGGCAATGAAGAATCCATATGCCATAGCATAATATATACATCATAGCATGTACCACATTGACTATTAAATAGCCAATGCTTTTATGTAAATGACAGAGGTATGTCAAAGGTCAAACTAAAAGGGTTGACCATCACTAGGGGGGAGGGCTGCTATGCATTTTTTTTTTCATTTACTTAGTTGAGTTATTTTTTTTTTCATATAGCTGTAAATTTTGTTGTTGTTGTAAAAAATATTTTTTATAGTTATTTTTTCCTAACTTTCCCTTCAGAATTTTTTTTTTCAAAATTTTCTCTGAGCAGATTTTTGTTGCAAAATTTGCTCAAAATCTAAGCCAGATTTTTATGATCAACAACACAATTTCTGGTTTAACTGAGCTTCTAAGAGAGCAAATATGGTGTAGTACTGTGTGTGGCTTAGTGCATGCCTGCCTCCTCTACTTGCATGTGATGATTCTTGTCTTCTAAACTGTCTAATGACAAGAAAGAACATTTTGTGAAAACAATTTCCAATTTAACTGACAAAATTGTATTCCATCAACTTGCTCACCTGAGAAGAAAATTTTAAATTGTCCTATTAATTCGCTCATTCAAAAAATAAATGTTTTACTACCACCAATTAATAGAGTTTTACAGATTTGTGCCTTCAAATTGAAGTACTGTGGAATACTTGATTTTCACTGGAATTAATTTTTGCTGAAAAGGCTTTTTGGGCGTTTTGTATGGAATTTATTTTCACTGATTTTTGATGAGTTTAATTTGAAATATAGGAAAAAAAGTATATTCGCTGGGTTTTGTTTTCACGGAATCATCCCTTCAGCGAAAATAGCGAAAATAAATTCCAAGCGAAAATAAAGTATTCTACAGTATGTGTGTACTTCATCCCTACAATGCAGCCCCACCCAGTGAGTGGGAAGTACCTATATGTACAGGTAGTACATATTCATACAGGCTGCCCTGTAGATATCCACTATAATTACCATGCATCATTATGTAACACAGTAGGAATACCGTGCAATACCATATCAATCCGAACAAAGAAACTCATTAATACCTGCCAGTGAGACGTAATGCGTCGATAAAATGAACATAAAAAATGGAGAGTTTAGAGACTCTAGAAAAAATGTATTTTTAGAGTTTATGTTTTAATATAAATCTATTTTAACTAAATGGTACATTTCAGGCTGTATTTATTAGTGAGCATTTTTCCAAAATTCAGATTCCTGCAATGTAATATTTTGTTAGGTTTACATCATATGGTATGATTGGACTGGAGTTTAGTAAATATCACAAATTTGTGAAAAACACAGAACCAGCATCTAAAATGGGACTACCGGGTACTACTGGTACATTGTAGTATGTAAAAAATTGGAATTGTGAGTTCAGTAACAACCAACTAGGTGACCAGATAACTACACTATTTCAACCCTGAGCTCAAATTCAAGACATCTATAATATCACAGCCACACTGAAATATCTGGAGGAATTTAATTTTTCCACTTGCTCTATGAGATTATACATTGAGTCTAGGAGTGACCATAAGAAATCCCCCATTTTAAATCAAATTTTAATACAAATTTACTAAATTTAAACAAGAAACTGAAAAAAAACAAATATAGCTTTCAGTTTATAGAAAGATGAATTATCCATTTTTAAATTGATAGAGTAAAAAAAAAAAATCAAAAACTCGAAGCGAGAGACGAAGTGGATGACATGCAAATAGAGGTTACCATGAACTCATTTAACGAAACAGCAGAGTGTGACTTTTTTTTCCCCATTAGTCTCTCATCTTAGTGTTATTAATGAAAATATTATAGTATTCTTTTATTGTACATTTCATAAAGTGGATTGCACCTCATTGCTATTTCAACTGCTGCATTAACAACTCACAACTGTCACAGGAATTAAACAGCCCCAAACATTAACCGACATAAAGCACAATAGAAATAATATATTCAAAATCAAAATTAGTTTTCCTGTAAACAAACGAGTCAGATAATCCTCCCAGACTGGGTACGGATGACAAACTGGATGAGTCATCCACTTTGAGACAAATAAAAGTGGCATAAATTGACACATATTTACTGATTCATTCACCGAAACTCAACTCAATGAATGCTTTGTGTTAATTTCCACAAATATTGAATGCAAATGTAGACCCATCACCATTCTTGTCAAATTATTTATGGTTTTTCATGGCCACTATCATCAACATGTTGTTAAATATAGTATCGACAAACGAAATGTGGGATAATAGGTAATAAATAAGTGATGACACCAAAACAGGGATCATCGCTTGTTTTTTGTCACATACACCACATACGTAATGGGCGCAGACAGTGAAATCTACACATTAAGACACTTGCAATTTACATGCCCAGAATTCAAAATCAGATACAGGTTGTTAACAGCGATGAAGTGAGATGTACGATAGGGTTAAACGCTGGATAACAAGGAATAAGATCAGGACAAGAGGGAGAAAAAAAAAAAATAACTGAACGTTTAAAGAAATAAATCATGTTCAATCTAGCAATAAATTTTCAATCTTACATGTATCTTTCTTGTACATCAATAGACTGAGAATAAATTAGACATGCTGAAGATAGAATGTAATTTTAATGGTCTAGTCTGACATGGATAGCTTTTTACAGGTTTAAACTTCCAATGGCAATTAAATAACAGTTAGGAAGCAGATGGTAAAAACTACAACATTCAACCTTAGGGGGGGTACAACGGAAACTAACTATGTTATATGGAAAATGTTATTTTCAGCAAAAATAATCACAAAAACATGTAAGGGCAAAGATCAACGTTTTTTGTTATTTTTTAAATAATAACATGCTATTAATTTGACAAAGATCATGAAGCATATTTCTGAAGCATGTACAGTGGTCAGTATTACCATGGTAATGGTGTATTGGCTTGTTTCTTCTTAAATAAAAGTAAAGGATTTACAGAATTCAATGATCCTTGAAAGCCCTGCGTAGACAGCAAGAGAATGAGGCTAACATCTGTTAATTATTTTACCTGCATTTTAACAGCGATGACGACTGAATTCAAATCACTCTCCAAGGCTCTCAGAACCATCAATCTTGTCAGCCTCAGACTGCATAACCTAATAATTAAATGAAAAAAAAAATAATAATATTTGAATAATTGAGTCTTAGATAATATACTGATAACTCATTTTTGTATTGCGATGGGGTCATATGACTGAAACCAGGAGGCACTCACTTTTTTTTCTCCATTTACAAAGATAGCATAAAATGAGAACCTTGTGTTAAGTAGAGGGGATATCACCTAATAGGTACAGGAAGGCAATGTATGAAGCCTTCATAGTAATTTGAGTGAGTAATCACAGATTTTTTTTTATCATCATGCTCCTCAAAAAAAACAATGCATGAATAGGTTGTGAACTCCACTCACTCGCTCACCAGTTGGTCTGGGGTTGACTTAAGTAAAAATTGTTTTGGCTAAAATATTAGTTACATTAAACACATTAATATTCACTTGGTTTTAAATTTCACTGTATTTCCTGATAAAGCAATATCAGCGATGACCTGAATTAAACACGTCACAGTTACAATGAAATAAAACTTGCTGTTCAGCAGCTCTACAGTGCATAGACGCTCAAGATATTGAAACATTGAAATTGAAATGCTAGTGAAAATTACAATTTGTATACATTTAAGTATAATTTTTGTTTTAACGTTGACTTTTTAGATTCAGGCTGGGTTCTGAAACTGGAAGTTATAATAATATTCATAATTATTATGGTCAATGTGAACCAACTGAAGAGATTTGTAAACATCATGTTTGTTTTTTTGTGCCAGCATTTTTTTCTCTGTATTACTGGAGCACGCTTTTGGTTTGACCTCAAGTCAGATTTCTATTGGGAGATACATCATCTGTATGCAGCACATGTCTTGCGCGACTCTGTGCATCATACATGCTAAACAATTAGGACGGGTTATGCCTCATGAATGAAATGAACGAACAAAGCTGAAGAAAAGGGACTGAGGTAAATAATGTAATTTAATATTCAAAATGAGGTAAAAGTATTTCCTTAAAAAATACGTCTTCTACATGTCTGGGTAGTCAGGAAATACAGCAAGTTGAGGAAATAGCATAAGGTTGTTTTTTTTATTTATTGTGTTATTTACTACACTGCTATATTTGGAAGATCGTTTTATGAGAATAACACACGTCAGTTTCCTGTCTCATGACAAAAGCATATAACCACAAAAATATTGTAAATGCGGCGAACAAAATCATTAAACACATCGCGACAACGTCCTTGACTTCCATTCATAAACACGCCAATACATTCACAGAAAGCAATCGATAATGGAAAACAAAAGACGCCAATAAACATAATCATAGTGATTACTGTGCTGCGGTGCACGGCTATTCCCTACTTTGTTTACAGTGCGTAATATTCAGCAGTCATTGATCAACAAAAAAGGAAGTCGTGTCGATTTATACATACGAACTGTTCGTAGTGAAGTTTTTCTGACACGAAATTGAACTGTGATGTTCAATCAATTGATTGTCTCCGTAGCATATCAAACATCACTCGATCGGATTTTAAAATCGAAAGAACTCGAAACACTAAGTCAGCGAGGGACCGTAATACAGAATATTATAAGAAGTCACGGACAGCAGTGAGTTTATTTACGTCAGGGTGGAATTATCAAAATACGACAATCGTTTTAAAGATAGGTGACTTGGTAATTGTGGTGAGGAATGTAAACAATCTGTTAACACCGAGTTCGGTGACAGTGATGCCACGGCTATATGTGTTCATTACCTATCAAGCAAATGCCAAGGACTGACGACCTGGTTGAACAAGAAGATGCAATGTGCCGCCCAACTCCTAGCACTGAAATCGAGATGTACTCCCGACGAATGAACACGAAAATTGACACCTACCTTGGAATACAATTGTGCGACGTCCTGTCGACCTCCCATGAAGCAAATAACTTCATGGGTACAGGTTTTGTCCCCGCCGTAGCCATAGACTTGCTAGCGTGAGCAGCCTGCCGCGGATCCGCCATCTTGTTTATTTTATTCTCGCCGGGAGAAAGTTCACGTTGTTCACGAGAGTTGAAAGTTACGCGAGTTCCGATTTGAAGACGTAACTTAGTTTGGTTATATTATATCGATTTTTTGTCAAAACTAGTAGCATATTACGATCAAATCACATATGTTTTTTACTACGCCAGGTGCTGATTTTCACTGACGCGGCATATACAGTGGATCATCATGTCACCCGTAGTAATGTGACCATAAACAAATATTGTCACATTCTGAAGTTCGGGGATGCAATTTTTTTTACAACGGATGTTTATATTTAGGACGGACTGTGCCGTGTTTATATCTTTAATGGTGATGCAATACTACATTTACAGGAAATTGAATTAGTTGTAAATTATAAGTAATACCCAAATGTTATTTTCAGCAGATTGGAATGATAACAATCAATACCACAAATCATCAGGGGTATGACCTATCCTGACCTATTTACAATAAACATATCTGTCAGAGATTACCCATACTAACGTGAAATATAAAATTATAGTTATCATGTTTAATACTACTTTATGATATTGCCCTTGAAAATTAAATATAACGCTGCGTTATTGATTACAATTGAGTGGAAGTATTACTAGTATTTTACGCATAGAAAGTCCATGAACAAGTTGGTCCGATGACGTAATGCTGACATGCCGGAGTGTCAAGATGATGAGTCATACGCTGAGGACCGGCAGTGTCACTACTTGTGTCCGTTCTAGTCATTTGCGGCACATTTCCTGCTAGATTTGAAACTTTTCATTACCTATTTCACGATTGTGTCTGTACTGTATAGATAAAAATCGTGAAAATGTGATGAAAAGTTGAAAATATCACAGGAAAAGGGGCACAAATAATACACATTTATCTTTTTTGTTACATTTCTTGTCTAGCGCAGTGGATGCCGGGATTGGGACACACCAAATGCAGTATTATTATCACCCGCACATTGCCGGCGGGGAATATCACCGGTGGATCTTGAAATTTGGTACAGGGGGAGCTGCAGCTGTTCAATCTCCTCATGAGTTTGTCAATTAATTCATTTTTTTGCCGGCCGAGAGGTTGGAGCCTAAATCCCCTAAATCCGCGCATGGTTATAGTATTTACTAGTACCAGCTTTCGTCCGCATGTCCGTCCGTACGGGAGACATATGAGGGACACTATTGCAAATAGAAAATATCACACGGTGTTATATTGAAAACACTGAACACTAGATCTGATCAACATACGTCATAACCATGCATATATGGTCATGTGACCTTATTAAACACGAATAAACGTCATATCTGGAGCACTATTGCATATATAGACATTCAACCAGTGCTTTATCGAGGACATTTGGCTCATGATCTTATCAACATATCTACTACCCATATATGGTCATGCGACCTTATTAAAATGCATAAATATCATATCCGGAGCACTATAAAATAATTGCAGATAGAGACATTCAACCAGTGCTTAAACTTTATTCAATATCGGCTGTCGTTATATAGTAGCTACACGTGTTCATATTCATAACTATGTGGTATTAGCTTCTAATATTGAACTTTGTTCTATCAGTTACTTTTATTTACTTGATTGTTTTAACTTCTGTTTGAGATCTACTCATTTTCACTTAATGTTGGATTGTATTTCTGTTCTATAGCAAGATCTCCTAAAATGCAAATCATTTTAGCTTCCGTTGTGCTTAGTCATAGCGATGTATGCATCTGTTCGTGTCTGTCTGTCTAGTGTATGTCTGCCCATAGAGGTAATAATATTCTTATAACCTGACAGGGATCGAAATACCCTGGTGCACACTGCACTATGCACATAGATTATTAGCTTGTGCAAGTAAACTCAAAATATAATGTGCACACTGTGCATGTAGACTTTAACACAACATTTTCTCATTATATTCACTAAGCCTAAATTAAGTTCAACCAACATTGTGAGACAACTAAAAAAAAATCAAATTCTTTTGTGATTGCATCAATCGAGAACCCGTAAATTTGATTTAAACTTTAAAAATGGTGCATTTCACAACAAGTTAGTGCAGGTAAATTTCAAATTCAACATGCACACTATGCATGCAGGGAAAAAAATTCTATTTCAATCCCTGTAACCTTCATGGTCTGCCTGTCCGCATGTGCACAGTCTTCGTCTACTGATCACCTGTGTGTATGTACACATGTTTTTACATATGTCCTTCTGTATGTACGTACGTCATTCTAGTTTGAGTGCTACTGCATCAATTGTCTCCAAACTTAATATGTATAACTGTCTTACAGATCTGATACAGACACTTGTGATTCTCTTTATTTGTGTATATTAATTATTTAATTTCTCTATAGATCGTGTTCGGTCAATTAGTTTAATTACTTTCTTAATTTGGGAATTGTACTTTTAACTATATCTCAAAAACACTGTGAGATATAGTTCACAGGTCTCATTAGCTTTAGGTACAATACACATTTATAAAATTAGTCAGGTTAATTAGTTGCAACAACACGGTGGGCCTCATTTGCATATTTTAGTTCCAAAGAATAATTGCAGTTATGTAGTGTATAAATAATTAGTACTAAGTACTTCATAAGTAGACTGATCTGTCTGAAACTTGAATGCATACCTGTACGCTATTTAATGTTTACATAGCTAACTCAATCACTTTACAAGTCGCGCCAGGTTGCCGGGGTTCTGCGATCTATGATGGCTTTCTTGTTGTGATAGTGAATACTATGCTCACATTAGCATTTTGAAATATTTACGTTTTCTAAATATTTCATATTTATACTAATATTATGTTTTGTTTTTTTTTGGTAATTGAACGGTTAACAAAAACTAGACACACGCAGCTAAATAACTTATGATGAAGTAAGTATAGTTATTACATAAACCAACATGGCTGTTCGAAGAAATGGTGTACGTTAGGCCATGGGGATATACGTGCATATTGCATAACCCGCGACTGAATGCAACGTTCATTGATATCAGTAACCAAGGTCAGATTTAAATGTATTACCCGTACAACTGTAAATGGTTGTCACCATGTACAACCTTTGATTGCCATGCCAGTACAAACACCGTGATATACAGCGGCATTGTACTGTACCCAGACAGTAAACAATACCGTTGAAAACTTGAACGCAACGAGTCTTGCTTTGAGAGTATACTATGAATTAGACTGGCCCAGCTGTGGCGATTTTTGTTTTTCAGTTCAATTGCAATTTGGGGATGAACGCGAAACCGCGGTTACGGGGGATGTCGTGTTAACACCTCCATTTTGCGATATTTTTTTATCATTATAATTTAAACTTTAAAAATAAATAAATCACCCAGACTGTGCCAGTCTAACTATGAATTAAAAAAAGCATCTTAATAGAAAAGCGCAATTTGTAGTAGTAGTGAGAATTAATATAATTGTATGCCCTAAAATCTTGAACGTTTTGGAGCATGGTTATTTTTTGTTCGTGTCCTCTGTTTTATTACACTTGTTGCACAGTGTTCATCATGCATGAGCTGTGCGACACATTGTTAGTATCGATGGGAGGGGGGTGTATCTTCTTTGATGTCGTAACTCAGACAAGCCTGAGTCGGGAAGTCATTTGATATCACGTGCTATTGATATCTATAATAAATAGCAATAAATATCTATATGGTGCGTGCTATCCGTCTATCCTTGAACGTTCGACCCCGTGTAACAATGACTGTCAAATTTACAAAGTAAGTTGTCGGTGTTACTAATGTGACCATTGTTCCCGGCGATATGATCAATATTTTATTACCGCTCGTTATCGATTTATTTTCATAATAAATCATCGTCTCAAATTAATCAGGTGACAGTTAGTTACATTGTTGTAAATATCCAAATAAATAACCGTGACAGCTCAAGGCCTTGTTCAAAAGTGTTGCATGTCTGATCACATATTAATATTACGTCACGCCCGCATCACCAACAATTCACTCATGTCTTCATATAAGAAATGTATTAACTTAAAGACATATTGGTGATAAAGTACAAGCATTACTAGAAGAGTGTAGGCATCAAAGCATACCAGTTGCACGTTCTCAATTCTATGAATGAATTGTACTGATATTGACATGTATTGATAAGATTATTTGAGATCAATTTAAACGAGACATATTCGAAAAACTATTAAGTCCTTATGCTGAATTTGTGAATGAAATGTTTATGTTTAATCTGCCAGTGTATTGTACATGTTTTTGTTGTTTATGCAAATGGTGTAAATGTGGGGGGGTACACTAGAAGTGGGGTCAAAACTCTACATTATCACAACAAGTTTGAGGTCACAACGACAGGGTCATTCAATGGAATTCACAGTTTAAGTTTTACATGGCTCGAAAAATGGGGATTAACACTACATAATCCAGAAGAAGTGGATTCGTGGTTTTGTAAAAGTGTTGAAAGAAAATGTTTTTACCATGCATGGTACTTACGTATATACATCTTTCGTGTGAGTATCTCAGGATTGGTAAAACATAAAATAATAACATTCAATCGAATTTACACGAGGGGTCAGCACAATATGAAGTTTAGCAACTTAGTATTCATGATTTAATACTGTTTGTGGTCAGCCGCATAACAATATTTTGTTTACTTCATGTCAGATTTCTTTGTTTTACTTTACCAGACAATGTTTTTTCTTGATGTTGTCAGCAAAGTAGATCCATTCTTTTAAAGAAATCAACAGCAATAACATGATATATCTCCTCATCCATATTTAAGTTTTGAGAACTCAAAACAATATATTAGTACTTTTTTTTAATAGGGAGAGATCATCTGCATGATAATATAGTTAATATTATAAAAATACAGTTACGTATCATGAAGGATCATTACAAAAATATCCGGAGCGTCCGTATTCGGTGAGAGAATGACCCCATAACCCTGCGTTAAGTACGCCCTCAACGTCAACTAACCATATCTCTTGTTTAGACTATATGGCTAATGTAAAGCTTGACAACATGAAAGGAATGCTTTCTGAATAGAGACCTCATTCACAGATTTTGGTTTCGATGAAGTAGCAATCAAATTCCCAAATTCTAGCCATTTCATCAAGTAAATGTTAACACATGTGCGCCCTCATGGTGCGCCCTCAATGGCAAATTATATCATATAAAAGGTGCGGATTGCAGGCAATGTGCTCCGGTTTAGGTTTGCAAGACCATTATTGGTCACGTGACCCATCATTCTCGACTATTTCATTTTTATAACTACATCTTGTCTCCATGTAGATTAGAAATTAATTGGGTTTTTTATATGCATATTAGTAATACATGAAGTTTATCATAAGCAAATTAGTTATCACCAGTTTTTATTTTATGCACTTTTTTTTTCATATGTAGATTAGTGAATTGCCGGCATATATTTTTTAGCCTGGCTAATTGTCAAGGTTCAAAATTTTTGAGGTGAATGAGAGCTCTTTATCAACTGGAAAAAGTTGGCAAGCTGCGTTTGAACCATGATTTTCACATCAAAGCAGTACCTATAACCAAGACTCGATCAAGGGTTTGGCTATATATTGTTAGGTTTATGGCTATACATAGAAAGAAGAATACATTCATCACATGATACGAACGACAAATCACTGAATAGAACTTTTTTTTTATTTATGTAAATGGCACCATTCTTCTGGTATGAATGAAGTCGCAATCCCTCTATCATAGAGGGACTGTGATGAAGTGAACAAGTTTCCAGTCATAGAAAAAGTCATTCCTCATCTTTTTTTAGCTCCCTGATCAGTGCAACACCCAAACATCTTGTAGGTGACAATGCATAGTGTCGACCCAGTGGAAGCACTGGCCTCAACTAAAAAACAAAATAGTAACTTTGGGCACACACAGTAGAATGAGATATGTCT